AATCAACTCATCAAAATCGGAGATCTTAAATGTTATTTTCTGATAATAGGAAAAAAGGTTTTGCAGAGAGAATACCCCCTTTGCACGGAGGGAAAAATAACTACAATACCTGGGAATAAAATGAACCTTGTCCTCTAAGAACTTATATATAAAAAACTACATTCCATTAATAAATGAGATAAAGGATGAATTGAGGAGAAACTCCGTAGGACCATTCTCAAGGACAGGACGGATGAATCTGGCAAAAATGATAATTGTCCCTCCTATTGTAAAATTAAAAAAAATTATATTGAGGTATATTTGGGGAAATAAAAAAACGAGAATAAGTTGCGAAGTGCTGGGGGTTTAGGTGTACCGGATTTTAAGAGATATATATTATTATTATTCTGTATTAATGTCACATATTTTTGATTGGATATACAATGCACCAGGGAAAAGTTGGGTTAATATAGAAAACACATTAAGTGGGGCTCTTTGGTTCCCACATCAGTATCGTAAGTTGGCTGAAAACACAAGCACTTATACACGAAATGTAATTAGGATTTGGGAGGTAATTCACAAACAAATGGGATGGAAGTTTAATTCAATGTTAATACCGCTGGTGGGAACAGATTTCTTCCCGCCAGGGAAAGAGAACATTTCTGGTAAATGGATTAGAAAAGGGAATACACAGTTAAATGATATAATGAAAAAAAGAGAAATATGCTCCTTTTCAGGAGTTAAAAAAATAATAAAGAGAGGTGTTTTTAATGTTAGATGAGTGGTGATATTTTTAATAGACATTTTGTTGCAATGCTACCAAAGCCGCTAAGGACAATGTAGGATTTGAATCAATCGAACAACTGTTTAGTGCCAGTAAGACACGGAAACATGGTACTTCCCGTATCTATTAAATCTGCAATCGCAGGATCTACTTCCCCACCATATATGGAGAAGTGGAAAGGGAACTTTTATATAATTATAATTTAATGAGCAACAAAAAAAGAAAATATTTAGATTAAAGCACGGGGCTATAGACATGAAGGAGGTGGAAATGAACTATAAATGTTTAACTAGGTGGTATATTACACCAAGTGTGGCACATATGCATCACATGTGTTGGAGGGGTTGTGGGATTAAGGGTACAATGGCACATATATGGTGGGAATGCCCTAAAATACAGGAGTATTGGGAAGAAATAATTCACCAAATACAAGAGATTCTGGGGATTAATATCTCGAAAGATCCAGGCATATGCTTATTCCATAAAACTGAGTTTACAGTAGAAATTTTGCCCCCCCCCTCCCTCCCCCCCCCCCCCCCCCCCCCCCGCCCCCCCCCCCCCCCCCCCCCCCCCCCCCCCCTCTGCTTAATATAAGAATTTGATGATATTTCATTTAGTAAATGCAGCAAAGGGATTGATAAAATTTTGTCAGGCACAGGAGGCACCAAAAATAAAGGATTGGATAAATAGGATAGACTACATTTATAGGATGGAGGAACTTTACCACATTGAAGAAGATAAAATGCAGAGATTTAAAAAAAAAATAGGGTGAGTTTAAAAGATCAAATAAATATGTTGAATTCGTAGGAATAGAGAATGATGAGAAGAGGGAACATGACTAAAAAAAGCTGGGAAATGAGAGACAGGAGGAAAGGAAGGAAGAGAAGGAAGTCCTGAGAGTAATAAGGGGAGAGGAGGAACTGGGAAATGAGGGGAAAAGAAATGTGAGTTGATAGAAGCAGCGGTGGACAGGGGGGAGGGTAGTGGGGGGGAAATGTGAAAAGGAAAATGGTTTTTCTTTTTGTCGTGATGAGTAATGTAATAATATATCTTTGTAATTTTAGAATGTTGAAATCAATAAAATATTTAAAAAAAAGTCTCTCAAATCTGGTACTGTATACTACTCCATTCAGACTGCAAAGTGTCCTTCAGGTATTCGTCATTGTACTACATTTTTCTGCTTATAAATTTCACTATGGGTTTTCCAATACATGACCATGCAAAAGAACATAATGATACAGTGTAATTACCGTAATAAACATCTAAAGTTTTTTTTCTGCTGTGTCCCTACTGGGAAAATGCCCTTCACTGGCTGCTCTAATGACACCTTGTATGTTAGAATATGTCAGACTCTGTATAATTACCATAAAGCAAATCTCCCCAGTAAGACAGAAGTAATAACAACCGGACTGAGATCTTACTTCCAGTAACTAACTCCAAAACTAGAATAATTTTAACTATAGTAAAAGGACACTGCTTAATTTGACTGTTTGGGCTATATAAGAATAATTAGTACTGACATTTGGTTGTATGTGAATAGTTTTGGTGTAAAGTTAATTTTTCTTTTGATAAATTTCCACATTGTGTGTTTATCTCCTTGAGGTAGTGCTACAGTTGTTGCTCTTCCACCCCTGACTGCACAGAGAAGTAATTTTTTGTAGACTCTTGTAGCAAGGCAGTTTCATTGTGTTTGATGTATGCCAGTCCCCTTTTCAGTTATTTGGCAGAGAGGGAAAGGGGTGAGGTACCAATCCATACACTTCAGTGGAGTTGGGGTGTGCTGCATAACCGTGTGTCAGTGTTGAAGTGAGGCTGCAGGAAACTGCAGAGGGTACGGAGTTCTGTAGAAAATGCTGCAGAAGGAAGAGATCTACTTATCTGAACATGGCTTCAACAGAAATCCCGTGTCTAGGTTTTGGTTATGCAAGCCACAAACTATGTTCTCTCCAGGAGGGGTATTTTGGACCCTCTATTACTTTTAATTTGACCTTACCAGCAGGACATTTTTATTTTCCCTTTATGCTCAAGGGAATATATAGTCGTTTTAGATACAGTGGGGTGGATTTTCTAAATGGGTAAATAGGCTGTGGAGTTTGCAAGTGCTAAGAATACCCAGTCACATGCAAGAACAAAAAAAAAAAACAGCATTTATGCTTGCACATGATTGGATGATGGAAGTCAGCATAGCTTTATCTCATTTACCAAGCTGTGTGGAGTGTGCAGTCTATTTGCCTTTAGTAAATATACCCCAGTATGTTTCAAAGATCAGCGTGATGTAAACAATGTTATCAAGGTAAAAGTGGTGTTAAAGTGGAGCTACACTGCCTTTAAGCACCATAAACCAAAAACACTATTTATTTTTATCATTCAAAACAAACTCGCCCATCCATCTATGCCTATATTCTTTACTTTGCTGAACAATTGAGTACAAAAAAAAAGTATCACAGACCGTACTCAATTATTTTGCTGAGAAATCACTTTGAAATGCCCCTCCTAGCATTTCTGGCAGTGGCCATTTTGATTAAGGGCAGATGATTCATGTAGCATTTACTTCTTGAAATCCAACTGCTTTTAGCTCATGCATGCAGACAGGAGGGTGTGATTAGCTGAGAAAACCCTTCCCGAAGACTCCTGGGATGTATGACCTTTGCCTAGGCATGGAAACCAGGAAGCAACTGAAGAATTGTAAAAAAAAATCAGTTTTAAAGCAAGTAAATATATACTTTACTATCTGTTAATGCTAGCGGCATGAGGATTAAAAATGTCAGTTGAGAGACTGAAGTTCCACTTTAAGGGTTTTAAAAAAACATATCGGTTTATACTTTTGTAAATATGCATGTTCATGGAGGCAGCCTTATCTGCTCATTGCAAACTCGCAAAAGTGCTAGACAGTGGTTATGTTTTACTGCTCCTTCTCACAGTATAAGTCTTTGGTTGACCTGCGTTTTGAAAACTGTGCACTTTGTTGGGCTGATACCTTAACAGTAGTTAAACAGGAATGAATTCGGCAAATGCATAGCTCCCGCTTGTGGTCAATTGATAAACCTTCATGTAATAACAAAAATATGGAGGAAATTCTGAAGCCGCTCCAGTCCAGTCCGAGGCTGAGCTGTCAGCAACAGCTTCTGTGTGGAGCAAAGGCAGCTGACAGAGGATGCCCTATAGTAAGTCTATGGGTTATGTCCTCTCCTATTCATTTCCCAGCCATTGACGGCTTTCTCTCTCAGAAGCCGATGCTGTAGACTGGACCGGAGAGGCTTCAGCATAGGCAAGTATAGGATTTTTTTTTTTCTTTACCGGGTTAGATAGATTAGGTTTAGAATGGGGCTGGGAGTAGGTTTAGCGATATATTAGGTTTTGGCTAAACGTCCACTTTAGGTTAAATGAACACTACAAATACACTGTTCAGAATAGGTCAATTTTAATCCTTTCCAGAGGTCATTGAAACCTAGATGCCCAGACCACATTTAGCGATGTCTGTATGCTTTAGTTAACGTAACTCTTGCACCTTTTCAGCTGTCATTGTGCCTCTCTGTTCAAGGCACAATGGCAGCTGAGCAGACAGGTTTGTCTTGTAATCATAATGGGATGTTTACATGATCGGGAACAAATCATTGGGTTTTGGAAAGTGTTAAATCAGTGATGATATGGTCTCAGAACTGGCAGTCCACATTGTTTCAAGCTATAATAATAATAGTTAAATACAGTTTGTGGGCAGTTTGGATTAAGCCCTTAAGGGAATGGCCTTTGACGTTGATGCTGTGACTGAATATAGGGTTCAGTTAATCTATTGTCAGACCATTTTTTATAGGCATAAAGATATGCTTCAATAAGTTTGATTACAGTACAAACAACTTTACACAAACTCTGTATTTTTTATCTTTTGTTGTGTCTATATTCACTTTAGCTATTGAAATGAAATCCTGAGATGCGTCAGAGAATAATTTAGCTATCAATACCTGACATCCTGCTTTTACCTAGGACAAAGTTTAGCCTCCAGATCTTTTCCTGTAAGCCGCTGGTTTGCCTTCAAGGACCACTGTTACACCTGAATTCCAGCTGTTCAGCAAAGATCTGACACTTCATTATTTTAGCAGTTTCTGATACCCCCTGCTTCTGCTTCACATGCTGTTATTGAGCATTTTTTAAACAGGTGTCAAGAAAAGTGGATTGTCATTTAAAAGTGCCCCAATTTCAAATTCTTTTCAAGCTAGCTGAAATATCACTCTTGTTTCAGATTCTACTTCTGTGATTAGCAAACAGCTTGGATCCATGTCAATTGATGAAGGACTTGGTGCGTGGTATACAAAAGTAGCAGTATAGTATATGTGTGGTTTTTGATATATATATTTGAGTGTTGCTTTAGTTTGTAGATTGCAGCTTTACAGTGTTTTAAAGTATGGTTTTACTACTTCATATAACCAACTAGAACTATGCATTTTTGTTGCTTTCATGGCTGCAGTCATTGTTTGGGACATTAAAAAAAAAAAAATTTAATTTTGTAATAACATTGTCAACAAAGAATTACTAATGCCTATTTTACCAACATTATTGTTCTTAAATGTTTGACAGATTGCTATAAAGTCTGTAGATGTCTACTTGCATTACTGAAAAACATTAATAGAATATTTTTTGGTAAACATTCTAAATTGTTTTTCAAACATAAACTGCTGCTTATTGTCAAATTTTATTAGGTTGCCAAATGTATGCTTGTAGTCAATGACTGCATATTGTTTATGAATAACATTGAATCACTAATGCACCAGAGCTGAGCATGCCTTGTCAAAGTATACTTCAGGAGCTATGTGTGTTTGTACTTGGCATCAGATGTAATGTCTCGTGTAAGTTTTCTGTATGTACCTAAAAAAAAAAATAAATATATATAGCAAGAAAAAGACAAGTCCCTTATCTGGAACGGGTGACTTACTAGAGGTGAAAAATGATCCTAAATGGGAATGAATTATGCAGTTTTAACAATGTACAGCCCTGGCCAAAAGTTTTGAGAATGACACAAATATTAATTTACTTGCAAGGAAACCCGTGCAGTCATCATTGCGAATATTGCCGCTACTAAGTTTATACCTAAATCAACCATTTTATCTGATCATCAAGAACTTCAAGGAGAAAGGTTCGGTTGTTGTGAAGAAGGCTTCAGGGCACCCAAGAAAGTCAAGCAATTGCCAGGACAGTCTCCTAAAGTTGATTCAGCTGCGGGATTGGTGCAGCACCAATGCAGAGCTTGCTCAGGAATGGTGGCAGGCATGAGTGCATCTGCACACACAGTGAGGTGAAGACTTTTGGACGACGGCCTGGTGTCAAGGGCAGCAAAGAAGCCACTTCTCTCCAGGGAAAACATTAGTGACAGATTGCTATTCTGCAAAAGGTACAGGGATTGGACTGCTGAGGACTGGTGTAAAGTCATTTTCTCTCATGAATCCCCTTTCCAATTGTTTGGGATATCAGGAAAAAACCTTGTCTGGAGAAGAAAGGGTGAGCGCCGCCATCAGTCCTGTGTCATGCCAACAGTAAAGCATCCTGAGACCATTCATGTGTGTGGTTGCTTCTCAGCCAAGAAGGTGGGCTCACTCACACAGCCATGATTAAGAATAGTACAAAAACATCTTCCAAGAGCAACTTATCCCAACCATCCAAGAACAGTTTGGTGACGAACAATGCCTTTTCCAGCATAATGGCGCACCTTACCATAAGGCAAAAATAACTAAGTGGCTTGGGGAACAAAACACCAAAATGTTGGATCCATGGCCAGAAAACTCTCCGGACCTTAATCCCATTGAGAACTTATAATCATCCTTAAGAGGCGGGTAAACAAACACCCCCCCCCCCCCCCCAAAGTCCGACAAACTCCAAGCATTGATTATAAAAGAATTGGCTGCCATCAGTCAGTATGTGGCTCAAAAGTTGATTGACAGCATGCCAGGGCGAATTGCAAAGGTCTTGAAAAAGGGTCAACACTGCAAATATTGACTCTTTGCATAAACGTAATGTACTTGTCAGTAAACAGCCTTTGACACTTATGACTTGTAATTATACTTAAGTATACCATAGTAACATCTGACAAAAAGATCTAAAAACACTGAAGCAGCAGACTTTGTGAAAATTAATATTTATGTAATTCTCAACACTTTTGGCTTTACATCTTTAATGGGTGACTCCTTTTGATTCTTGTAGTATTTTTTTTTTTTTTATGACCTAAAAAAAAATGAATTTAGATTATATTTATACCAAACTCTACCAATATTGACCCCCAAGTTATTTATTTCTCTGTCAGGTATGTAGGGAATTTGGTCAGTTCCTATGGGCGGGTCAGCCATACAGGATTCAATACTCATTGTTGATGCTCCCAAAAAATTGTGGAGGTATACGCCTTCTGAATGTGTCTAAATATCACAAACCATTTAAATTGTATTCTGGAATGGTGTACGGCCGGGTCAGCTAAGCGGTGGGTGCAGTTGGAACAGGCTTTTATGGAGGTTCCTTTGCAGGGTTTGTCATGGTTTTTCCAGGACACTCCTAAGGTGTTGCTTGGGCACCCAGTGATCAAAGCCACCCTTAAAATTTTTCAGAAAGAAAGGCATCCAGTGCTGTGCGGCTCCATGTTTTCTGCTATGACCCCCGTAATAGGTCACTCCTGATTCTTACCAGGCTTACAGGAAGGGTCCACCTGGACTCACTTTACTTAGCGAACCTTTGGCTTCCATCAGTTTGGGATCCGTACCCATGCCCCGTCACTTGCAGAATTGCAAAACCAATTTAACCCACTTCTGCCATTTTGGCAAGCCCTGCAGTTACACTATTTCCTAACCTCCTATGCGCAGTAAATATTACCCACCTCCTTCGCTAACTGCATTTGTGCACCTATGCTTGGAGACTGGACCTTTACAACATGGTCGCTCCCGCTCGAATTTCCTTACCAAATAGAAAAATGACCTTAATGTCATGTTTACGGACAAACAGACAGAATTCTCCAGATGACACATAGGGTCTCCATATGGAGCTCCATCCAGGAAACTGCATACAAAATTTTCTACCGATGGCATACGGTTCCTGTGACTTTGCATAAGCTGTTTCTGCAATGTCCTCACATGTGCTGGCAGAATGATCCTGCGGCTTTTTTGCTGCACTTGGCTCCAATGTCCTTTTAAGAAATATAAACGCTCACTACTTATCCATTTACTCATCGCAGCTAAAGCATTCCTTTGTGCTGGAAGCAAACCTTGCTTTCAACGTTGGGTTTATGCTATGATTAATGAAATCCAGCTGATGGAGGAGCTGCTTCCTTCTGCGAGCAATAAAGAGGAACAATTCTGAAACTGCTGGTTCTGTTGGACCGACTTTACCTTCTCCGATTACCAGGCTACACTAGCCTCCAAGAGTTGAGATGCAGACCACTCTAAGTACCCCTCTCAACACCTGCAAATAATTGTGAGTTGTGCACAGCCCCACCACTATCCCCCCCCCCCCCCCATTTTTTTTTTATCCCAGAAATATCTCACATGTCTAGCACAGTTGTTTACACATGTTTGCCCCCGATTTTGCATTCGCATGTATGTGCACGGAGATGTGGAGGGTTAATTAATTTGACTTTATAACAATAAATGTATATTTTTTTTATCTGCATAGACATATGACAGGGTCCCCTACATGGAGACTGCAGCTAATCAATGACAGCTTTGAACCAAAAGTTATATAATACACATCTCTTCCAGGTTCATTTAATGCAGAGAAGACTATGGTACGGATGTATGGCGTATATTAATATATTTCCATGAGTGGGAAGTTCTGAGACAAATTGCCACAGTAATCTGTGACAATAATGCTTATTTTGATTTGTTAGGTGTTATGTATAATGTACTTGGCAGAGGCTGGTATGATGGTATGAGCACAAAACTGTTGTCTAGCACAGTTTGTATGAACATACCATGCAAGGGAGTACATGGCTAGTATATGTATATAATGCACTTGCATTTTTGGTTGCTATTAGGCTGTGGAATGTCCTGTGACAATTATTGATCCAGTTGCCTTGGCCTGAATATGTATAAAGCCCATGTTTTGCTTTTGTATCTTTTTTGTCTGCGTTTTTTCTTCTAATCTGTTCAATTGCGTCAAATCAATATTCTTTAATGATCATTAAAGTTAGGCATGTTATACTCAAAAAGCACACATTAGATCCTTAAACACAAAAAAATGCTTGATGAATAACTAAGAAGCTTCCCGACATGACAGTTTTGTCTGTCTTCAGAGTCCAATCACTTAGTCTTTTTCCTTTTCATTTAAATGTAGTCTGGTAATTGTATTATGCCATCAGTTATCTTATAAAATTCTGTAAGAGTTTGATAAAGATGCTTCTAATTAAGGAAGTCTTTCAAGTCTACTATGGTAGCTGGGCCTATTCTGACAAGTAGCACATCTGTGCAGTATATGAGGAAAATGTTTGTGACCATATGTTTCAATAAGCTTTTGAAGCCTTGCAGTTTTCAGTACTTCACTGATGATACACCACATTTTATTTTGCAGATGTAGAAAAGGCATACATCTTTCAAAATGATGGGTGTAATGGAGAAACCTGTTAGGTTGTACGGAAGTTAAACAATTGTTATTTTTAAAGACCAACTCCAAACAAAACACTTGTTTCCATTCTAAACAGGGGGGAGAAGGGCTGTTTCACTCTTTGTTGGAAGGTTTCCCCTGGTTTCTGTACGGATGACACCATATCACACCTGCAGATAGAGTGCAACCGGCATGCTCTAACGAAGAGAAATCTATCTAGAGGAGACACAAGTGGGAACATCTTGTACTATGGTTTGTTGGAACCACATATCTTGTATCATTGTTCCTGCTGTCTGAGATAGTGTGGTTAATCCACAGGATTGCTTTTGTTTGGAACTAGTGATACTTGGATATGTCAGTGGATGTCTCAGAAACTGGAATAAACTTGTATTTTCAAACCCCGGGATGAGTCCTGAAACATACTGTGAAATGTGGTCATCAATAGTTAGAATTTTTTTTTTCTTGCAGTTCTGTCTCCTATGGGGCAAAGTAAATGTACTTTCTCCCATGTTTTGCACTTCTTTCTAACCTGACCTGCCCCCCTTCTCTCCTGTCATGGCTGATAAGATAACAGCTTTGAAGGTGTTTTATTCATCATTGTAGCTTGTCTTGACTGTGAGCACTGTCCTGGAACAATCAAGAGGAATACGGAGGCCGACTTATTCCCCCCCTCCTCTTGCCATTTGCTTGTCTCAGGAAAGTGCTCACAGCCAAGACAAGCTGCTG